TTGTGTTTTTGTACTATACTTTGTGCAAGATTCACTCTGATAGTTTTCTAAGGGGGAGATAGTGTTAGAGGATATAAAGTTAAATATATCAGTGAGGAATTGCAGAAGGAGATTATTGTTGGTGTACAATAGAATTAAACTTTGATATTTCTTTGGTTAACCAGTATATTTCAAATGTAATTTGAATTTGTAATTCAAATGTAATTTCAATATGTACCATTATATTTCAAATAATTACACAGCAAAGTTTAAGTTGAAGCAAGGAGTCTACTACATTATTTTTAGCCTGCTATACTTGGGTGGGGTGGAAGGATGCAGATTGTGTGGAACATTTATTGTATTCATTGAAAATGATCAGAGAAAGTATTTCGAATATGTAGGCGACTGAATTTTCCGCTTGCCAGTTAAAATAGTCTGAGAAACCACAATGAGTATTTGTTGAATTGGAACCACAACGATTTATACATCAGCAAACTATGTTTTCAAGAGAGGTTTTGCAGATTATATAAACAAGTTGCTTATTAAATCTGATATGGGCTTGGACTCTTAAGTTGGGTAAAGTCATGCTTGGATCTGTGACTAGCATGTTATTTTTAAAGATTTTTAGGGAAACTTGTTATTTCCCATGGAAATAATTTTTGAGCCAGTCTAGAGTGTTGCACAGTTGCCAAATTAAAGGGAGTAGTCTTTTTTTGTTTTTAAAGTCAATAGTTCTTAATATTTTTATTACTTCAGGACAACCAAAATTTTGCTTGCACCAAAATGTTCAAGTTAATGGATAATTGAACAAGATTAAATTACTTCTGGCATTATCAAAGCACTACCATGTTACAATGTTAGGGGTCTGTCAGATTTCATTCCAGTATATTTTTGTCTTTCTGTTAATCCCAGCAGGAATTAAAATGTTTGTTCAAAGATAAGTGCAGCAACTTAGTTTCAACTGTGTGGTAGCTTGGTTGTATTTTCTTTCATGTTACATTCTTTGGGAATTCTGGTTGCCATTTCTGCAGTTTTTTCAAAGAAACATTTGAAATGTAAAGTCTCAAGATAGAGGAGAACTCAGCAGGAATGTTAGTAGAATGTTGTTAGTTGATATCACATAGCTCTGGTTTATTTAAAATCCAGGAGAAGTTCCTCATGTATCTTTCTAGATTAAAAGAGTCCAAGCCCGTATCAGATTTAATGAGGAACTCATTTATATAATCTGCAAAATCTTATTTTAAAACATAGTTAGCTGATGAATAAATCATTGTGAACAGCAATATTCAAAGTAAATTAAGCAATAAACCAAAACTGTTAATTACGGCATCAGTAATTACTTTTCAAAGGCCATCTGAAAAAAATCAGTTTTCATGAATTTTATTCATGTTAGTAGTGTAAAGATAAGGCAAAAAGGCAAGAAAAAAATACTTCTTAATAGACATTTCTTATTAGTGTATGGTGGTTGGTTCCCCAGATGGCGTCGGCTATTTTCTCCCATTAGTCTAGTTATTATATGTACTGCTTATTTATGAGTTTTACAGTTTATCAATAACTGGTTCCCCATCCATATTTGAAGAAATATCTGAAAAAATAATAGATTTGGGTCAAAGTCTACATTGAAACATAGAAAATATAGCTCATTTTTCACCTCTTCCCTCTTCATTTTGCTGACTTAAATCAAACACTCTTTTATTGGTCCCACACTCATCACCAGGATTTTTTTTCCCATGGCTTCTTCCAGGAATTTAAATTTTATTTGGGTAGAATATTGACATGTAAAGAACTTCTGGCTGAGGTTGGAGCACTATTTTAAGCTCTTTTAAATAATTGTATTTTAATTATTACTATTTTTTCTGCCAAAGTACTGTCTTGATTACTTTCCATGGTAAGAGAGGAGTAATAAGTCCCATGCACAGATATAAATTATATTTCTGTTTTTCTAGTATTTCAAGAGGTCTATTGATTCATGTACTCTCCAGTAAGTTAAAGATTGATAAAAAGCAAAAAGTGTGTAATACAAACTGTTTGGGGGAACTTAGAAAAGGGCAGTAATAAGGCAGTGCTGCCACTTTCTGTAGAAAATTAATTTATTGCCATAATCTATTTTTCAGGAAGACAGGCTAAGTCCAACATTGTAGAGAAATGCATAAATAACCTTGAAAAAGTATGCAGAAGCCCTTAAGACAAAAGAAGATTAGCTTTGGATAGTGAGATGGGTGGCATATACATTTAATAAATAAATAGAAATTTATAAACTGCCTTGATTATGATATAAGATGGGAAAGAAAAACATTGTAAGTCTTTAAGGTTCCGTTGTTATCCAGCAAGCAATATTTCTTATCCTTGGCAACTTTAAGATGCATGGACTTTAACCGTCAGAATTTCCCATCTAGTATGCTTACATGGGAATTCTGGGAGTTGAAGTCTATACATTTTATTAAAGTTGAGAAACACTGGGGGAATCGTTAGGAAGCACACAGGAAAATGTATAATGAACATGAAGACCTGGATCTTCCCACACAAGGATTAGGCTAGCATGAGGATGTAACTGGGAGCCTGTTTGGTCTGGTATCGGGTGTGGGGAGAAAATGGTGATTTTGTTTTAACTCTGTTTTTACTCATGGTTATGAGCTGCCTAGGATCATTATATGAGATAGGTAGCCATATATATATTCTGTAAGTAAATAAACAAATGACAAATTACAAAAGAGAAATCCAGAGATGCTCAATTGAAAGATTTCCATTGGAAGAAAACATAGGAGCAGTGAAACTTTACAGAATGAAGGCGTATTTTCAGTGTGATTATGTATTGCTGCATATTACAGCATAGTTTGTTATGAAGGACTCCCTTCTCTTGTATTAGGAAAGGACATTTGGCCATTCCAAAATACACTGTCCTGAATTTTTAGATTTTACCAATTAGCTATTAAAGAAAAATATATATTGTAAGAGAATAGCAACAATGGGGACAAAATTGCTGTCACCTGATGCTCTTTAATAATGCAGATTTATAAAAATAAGAAACATCGTGTTGGGCAATGCCAAAGGAATTCTTGTCTGGTGTATTTGAAATAATCCTTTTTGAAAACTAATGACTTTCCTTCACTTATCCAATTCTTCCAAAATATTAGATCTTCTGCATCAAAATATTAAACATTTTGTAGCACATTTCTTCAGTTTTGCTTTCTAGCATGCCCTACTCTTAATAGGTTTGTTTTCCTACTCTTAATAGGTGTAATAATGAAGATTTACACAAATTGCCACAGCAATGGTTATACAATGTCCTGGAAGAAATTAAATCTAGTGATCCTTCATCTAAACTGTGTGTCACCAGACGCAGTGCTGGAATTCCTTTCTATATACAGGTACCATATGTATTTGATCTTGATATGACCACAGTTTCTGGACTGAATCATTTGAGAAGCGCACAGTGTATTGTTAGTTAAATACTAAGAAATTTTTGGTTGGATTATTCTAATCTAATGGTATTAGAATGTCTTCCAATTCTCTTATTCTGTTAGAACTTTGAGTTGTTATTAGTAATATTTTAGATGAAATACAGCTATATCTTTCTGCCCACAAAATGGGCATTTTTTGTCAAATATTGTATTTGCTTTATAGTCCTACATATTGTTTACAAATATGATTTAGGAGAACGACTTGAATTCAAGACTAATGCCTAATACAATTCTAATTTAAGCAATGTACAACTTGATAACTACATACATACCATTCACTTCTAATTAAAGATCTTTGAAACACAAATAAAGTTTAAAAAATCTTCAGAGAACACAAAACTATAATTGATTCTGATCATTATAGTTATGGACTTAAGTGATCTATATGGATTAGATTATATTAGATAACCTTTATTGTCATTTTTTCCTGTGGGCACAATGGCACACATTAAAAATGAAATTTAGTTGCTTCCTCTCATATACAACATATGTATAAACCTACACCCTTACATACAAGTAACATATAAATATTAATCACTGTCCATCTTGAATACATAACGGAAGGAGGAAGCTATATGGAGACTAAAGAATGAAATGCAAATTAAATGAAATACAAAATACTATATATGCTACAATGTAAAATAAAAGAACAAAGAATCTAGAAGGAAGGCCTGGTCATGATGAGAAGATACTTTTAATATTCAACCCTCACACTTTAGTTAAATCCAACACATATGTTCATATAAATGTACTGCAGAGTCCAAAAGGAGGGTGTTTCCGCAAAGCTGCTGTTATAGGATGACGGCCCTTCTGAAGCATATTTGGTATAGTGTATGCAGAAAGAGAATAAAGAAAAGATCCCTTTAGCATTGTATCAGTCTTACATTTTCTATGTTCCAAGTCTGTTTTAAAGATAATCATAACACTAAAGATAGAAGAAATTCAGAATTATATTAGAGAATTGCTCTTAGGTTATTATCATTTTATTTGCTCATGGATTTTGGAAACTTGTTCTCTGAAATGAGAAATAGTATCAAAGATGCTAAAATGTAAAGCACATGTGAACACATACACAAAGACTAATTTGTAGATTCTCTCATAGTGTACTTGCCTGCTTCTTCCAAGCTTTGTTTTTCCATTTAGTATTTGAGTCAATTACTATTTTGATGCCACTTTTACGGCTGAAATGTTGAACAGTCTCTAATTGCTATATTTTTTCATTAATCTCTGTAAACAACATGAGCATTTATGGAGTTGGTGATACATTTTTTCCCCTACAATTTTCTATTTCCTTTGTCCTAAATATAATAGATTTAAAGAACTTTTTAATTTTTTAATGAATTGCTTCAATTTCCTAAAAAGAAACTGCATGAGAATTCTGCATAAGCATGACACTGAAATGCAAATCACAATTCTACATTTTGCTTGATTGAAATGTTTAAATGTTCTTTTGCTACTCCTGAAGCTTATATTTGGTATTTCCAAGTTGTCATGTTTAAATGTAATAAAAGTGAGAAATATATATTATATCATTTTATTTTATTTCTTTTTTTATTCCAGGCCTTATTAGCTTCAGAACCAAAGAAAGGTAAAGCAAGTCTACTAAAAATGACGATGAAAAGTTTGATAAACTTGGCTTTACCTTCAGATATGCTCGCAAGTATAATTTCTCAGGTAATGCATCTCTCTATCTTCATATCTCTTTCTCTGTTAATTCAGAGGACGAGGCTGTGAGCAGAATTTAAATTTGATATGATTCCTTCTTCTATGCTTAGAATTGCTCATCTTCTATCCAATTTTAATTAAATTGAGGGCAGACTTTTGGGAGCCAAATCTAAATATCAAGGGCCTTAAATTACAGGTACTGTGGAATGATTGTGAGATATAGGAGGGTACTGATTAGGACTTGTACCCCATTTGTATTTGGGGTTTTTTTGTAATAAAGTTGGCATACATAATTTTATGATACATTTCAACTAAAGTTCTTATGTTAACTTTCCCTCCTTCCCCAGGTTCATGCATTAAATATCTTGAGAGCTTTATTCAAGGATACCCGCTTAGGTGAAAATATCATTCCTTATGTGGCAGATGGAATGCAAGCAGCAATATTAGGTTTTACTTCTTCTGTCTGGGCAGTAAGTTGATCCTTTACTTATAGTATATTAAGTTTGAAAGCATTGTATTAATGGTGACCAGACCAGGGATTATGGTTTTCTATAACTTTATAATGTCTGATTTTTTTAATAAATTATTTTTTAAAAATTAGATAGAAGGTATGCTACAGTAAGTATAGAGCTAACCTGCTTTCATAGGACACATGCTATGAAACGTGTAAAACTACTAAAATTGGCTATTATATCCACTAACTTTTCATTTGATTTTTATTTAGTGTTTTTATACTAAAGGCTAAACATTTATTTGACTGAAAAAAATTATTTTATGACAGAGAATACAGCTTCTAAGTGATATGTTGAAATTAAAATCCAGGTACTTTTAAAAAATTGTTATATCTTCAAATGTTACTGAGCCAATTAAAACAAAAATTGTAGCCAGTAGTAATCTCTTGGTCTAAAATAAGAGAATATTTTTTGACTGGTTTCACTGGCATTTCAGAATCATATTAAGTTGCATGCAGGCCATAAACATTTCTCTGTGTCATATATTCTGTATATTCACAGACATGTACACTACTTATACATAGCTCTATGTCCATAGAGAAAGGAGCTGCCTACTTCTCTATGCATGTAAAATAATGCAAATGAACTGGCAATTCAAGAAGAAATGTGACATCTTTTCTATGAACAGATTATGTTTTTCTCAGTTAATTCAGAAAGGGGTTGTACTGTTAAACATAAGAGAAAAATACATTATGGCCATGGAGAAAGGGAGCAGTCTCTTCCTTGCTAGATTTGAGTGCTGTTCTCTGAAAGTGCAGGATATAACTTCCAGTGAGTTCTTGCAGGCCTTCATATGGAGACTACATGGCCAGATGTTTTCATATATGGTCTAAATGAGATCACGTTATTTATATTCACAATCTTTATTCTACAATTTACTTCATATGGGACTATTATGCACTATAGGTTGCTGAAAGCATCAGACCCCTAATGTCAACAATTTATTAAAAACAGATGGAAATATAGTGGATCAGTATGCCAAGATATTTTAGGGAGTTATTAAAATATAGTCATAGATGTTGTGCTTTACCATAAGCTATTAATAAGATGAAAATGCATACAACTGAAATTACAGTTAAGAAGTTTATAAACCTAACCCTAACCCTAACACACACAAAACCCCCAGATTATCGGTCAAATAAGAAATCTGACAAAAGAATCAGAGACTGTTCTAAACATAAAATATATTTAGTTATAAAAATTAACCAGAAAATGCCACTGTTTTAAACATATGCTCAAGGAAGTCTTTTCACAGCCATAAGGATTGTCTTACTATTAGAGCAAATAAATGTTTCTATTGTTTTACTATTAGTGCAAGGAAGTGGAACTTCTGAAATCAATCCAGTACTTATTTTCAGGAGGATTGAGATTAAATATTTTATATGAACTGCTGGACAAATTTTAGAAAATAACGAGCAATATCCTCTTCAGCACTCTTAACTATAAGGGCATTGACAAAGATTACAAATAACTTATACATCTTGTACAGCTGAAGGCACTTGCTGCCTTCTTAATTATATCAAAAAATTCCTGTAAAGGGAGAAATACTTTTAATATAATTTTTACATTCAAATTTGTTTTGCATTACACTATTGCCATAGAGCAGTCTTTTCATTAGGTAGTGTAGGCTACTTTGGATAGCTGTATCATCTAGCTGAATTTTATATAATTGTTTTTTTTCTGTAAAATGATTTAAAATGAAAAAAGACTAATATAAAAAACAAACTTTGAGAGCCCAGACCTCGAAAACATGTTGTACTTTTCTTGCACATGTCCTTCATATCTGAAGACAATTCAGATAGTCTATTATCTCAAGGTGATTGTAATTTGAGAGCAAAATTAAACATTCTCATAAAGAAACTTGATTTTGATTTGAAGTATGCCTATTTCAGAATAGAGAGAAGGCAATGTATTAAAATTGGTCTTAAATATGTATTTTAAAAGGAGTCCTTGTCAACAAGATATGCATATCCTAGCTTTTAGCACTATACAGAAATGAAGAACTATTCTTGCTTTAATTATTGAAGGACTGATTGCATTTAATAATAATAATAATAACAACAACAACTTTATTGTCACTTTGAAAGTACACCAATCGGCATACATCAAAATGAAATTTCGTTGCATTCGTCTCAAAGAGTCACCACCTCCGATATACACTCCTTGTTCGTGGCCAGCTCAAGTTACAGATCTTCCATTTTAGTCTCTAGGGAGCGAATGATGGCAAACAGGACAGATGGAAATGGAGCTCCATGTGGATTATCCCTCAAATTAGTTTGTATTCCTGCACGACAACCTCCTTTAGTAGCATCATTTACCTTCAATGTTTTATATTGAGCAAACTGATTGTCAGATGAGGCAAATACTACTACTGCTACTACTACTACTACTATTACTACTACTACTACTTCTAAAATTGAAAGGGACCTTGGAGGTCTTCTAGTCCAATCCCTTGCTCAGGCAGGAAACCATATACCATTTCAGACAAATGGCTGTCCAGTCTCTTTTTTAAAACTTCCAGTGTTGGAATATTCACAACTTCTGGAGGCAGGTTGTTCCACTGATTAATTGTTCTAACTGTCAGGAAATTTCTCCTTAGTTCTAGGTTGCTTCTCTCTCTGATCAGTTTCCATCCATTGTTTCTTGTCCTTCCTTCAGGTGCTTTGGCGTAGATAACAATACATGGGCATTTGTTCAATGAATGAGGCTGTTGTCTTCAGTTATGTTCAGTTTGTAACTTTTAACATCTGCTTTTTTATATTTAGTTACTTACCTTCACAATAATTATCCAAGGCCAGTTATAAACTACTACTGCCAATCTGAGGGGTAAAAGAATCACATTATCAATATTAAGCAATTAAATCTTCTTTTACATAGTTGAACTACAGAATATGGCTTTCTTGTCAGATCTAAAATAGTATCATTTACAGTACATCAGATTTTTTTTTATAAGAAAATGTTATTAATTTTTATAATTAAACAATAAGTAATATGATGCATTTATAACACAAACATACACAAAGAAAAACAATCCAATTCAATACATTATCAGAAACGCTCAACAGTTCCCGACCTGCCTCCGCCCTCATCCACTTACCTTTCCTTCCTACCTCTAACCCACAACCTCTCCTCCTTCCCCTTTCTACATCCCCCCTCTTCCTGACCACCTCATTGAGTGCAAGCCGGGATACCAACCGAGCGTTTCCTCTTATCAATACAATTATAACATATGAATACATCAATTTTTATTTTAATACTTCTAACCCCCTTCCCCCCCCCTGAGCTTCCCGGAATCAAATACAGGACTAAAACAAATCATTCCAAATCTAACTTACAATTTAGCTAAACAAATATAATACTAGCAATATATACCTACTTTAACTCTAATAAGGCAATTAAATTAATTAAAATTAATTAAAAGCCAATACATCTACTCAAAAACTATATATCATTTAATCACTCCATACATCTAATATAATCTATCCACCTTCAACATTTAAGCTTACATATTTTTTCCCCTTACATTTTACACTTAAATTTTCCCTTCACTTTCTTCCCTCTCCAATCTATACTTTCAATAAAATCTTAAGTCAATACCTCCTGCTACACAGCTGGAATAAAAATAAAATCCCAGTCTTAATTTTTTACCTCTTTCAGAAAAAAAGAAAAGAACAAGAACAAACAGTTCTTTACAAACATATAAACTAAGTTGTTCCATTTCCATAATAAAGTCTCATTTCCAGCATTTATCCATCTTTTGGCTTACAAAGCTTGTTAAACATTCCTTGCATGCACTCTTTGGCCTCGCCCCGCTCACTGGCTCCGAAGGTTGTGGAAAAGTTATAGAAACTGTTTCTTTTTGTTGCTGTCTCTCTTTACGCCTATAAGCAGCACGGGTCATCCTTTGCTCCTTCTGAGGATCTTCTACAGATAATGACGACATGGCCCCAGGCAAATCCACAACAGGTTGCTCCATCAAATCTTCCTGTACTTT